GGAATTTCCTCAAAAAGTGAAAAATAGACTACCCTATTATCCAGCGATTGCACTACTAAGTATCTACTAAAAGAATACAAAACCTCTAATCCGAATGTTACATGCAGTATTATCTACAATATCCAAACTATGGAAACAGCTCAACTGTACATCAATGGGTCAATATATAAGATGTGATATATATCACATCTTATATATTTATATTATATATAATATATATATAAAACATGTGTGTATGTGTGTGTGAATATATATATGTATACAAATATATTAAAATGGAAAAGGTTTTTTTTTTCAATGCAAGAATAAAAAAGATACAAAGACACCCAAATAAAATAAATTACCCTATGCCTTCAGCTTCGCCTCCTCATCCCAATTTGGAAGCTACTAACACTACCATGTTTTTCCTCACATGGACGGATGGGTATTGGTGTGATATTAATGAACTTCTAGATCAGAACTGATGTGTTCTGGATCTCTGCTGCCATTGTTGCCTTACTTTTATGGAAATTTCATGAGGGACAGTGGTTTTCAAAGTATGATTAGTTACCCAACAGCTCCACCCAATGCCTGAGTGCTTCCCTTCATCCCCCGCTTCCTTTTCAAATTAGCATCCCCTACACACACTCCCACAATTTCATAGATGATATTTAGGACACTTGTGATCTCTGAAAGGATTTACCTTTCCTCAGGCCTTAACTTAGCCTTCTTCCTTAGGGATACAATATTAGAAATTGGAGCCATTCTAAGAATAGACCATATTACCAGAGACACTATAAGCCAAAATATTCCTACTATCTACATTCTGGGTATAAGTGTAGCCTGATTTTTCAGGAGAGCCCAAGGGATAGGATGGCAAACATAACAATATCTTGCAGAGGAGAATCCACAAGCTGATATTTGCTTTATCCCTCCATGGTTTGATAACACAAATACAACCTTAAGCAATAATCCTTCACTTACTCTAACTGGATAAACACTCAAGGCACAAGGAATGCTGAAAAATAGCCAAGATAAAAGAGATCTCAAGGTTATCATTTAAAACATAAAGAAATGCTGGGTATTGGACAGTCATGAAGACACTATTCAGAAAAGAGAAACTAAACTAAGGACAATTTGAAACAGTTTACCACATCTTATGCTAGATGCAACCGAGAGTTAGTTCAGCCCATTTCTTTGACTATCCACTTTGTAAGCCTTTCCATCAAACTACATACCAGGCTCTCTCCTCCTACCTTCCCACCATCATGTTGGCATTGGGACTTGCTCAGGTGTGATATTTCTGCACCATGAAGCTGGCACTGAATGAAATTAAAATCCCATATAAATAAGACTTTACCTTAGCATTAAAATACATATTCTCATTTTGTCCTAGCTTCTGTAACTCTTTTCCCATTATTATTTATTTTCCTTCACTTCCAACTGAGAAAATAACCATGGGGTCCAAGTTTAGCCTGGAGGGAACCTAGAAATACATAGAAGGACAGATGTTATAAAAATGATTTTGTCTGGTTTGGGGAAAGTGAGATTCACATGAATACTCATGAAAGTTTCTATAATAGTTGCCTTGACCTTTTAAGACCAATTATGATGAGGGCAGATTCAGGCAGAACAAATTTCCAAACAGCTACCATATGCCCCAGGGTTGCCAGCAAATACACATTGTGAGTTCAGTCCCTTTATCTGGCTTGGGATGGGAAACCAGGGCCATGGAAAAATGGGTCTATTGCAACTGTCTAGCTGAGATACCCAGGAGAAGAAGCATATATCCAATCCAGAGCTGATATGGATACACCTTCTCTACTCTCAGGCTTACGCTTCTTCCTGTTCTGCATCTAGAAAGAATCTGGGAATCCAACATCCCAGATATTTTTTTTTAAAGATTTATTTATTTATTTTGAAGAGAGAGAGAAAGCACACCACTAGGGGGAGGGGCAGAGAAAGAGAATCTTCAAACAGACACCCCACTGAGCATGGAGCCAGATGCAGGGCTTGAATCCTCTACCCATGAGATTATGACCTGAGCCAAAACCGAGAGTTAGATACTTAAGTGATGGCCGACCAGTTACCTCCACCACATGCCCAGATACATTTAAAAAGAGAGGGCCTGCCAGATTAGAGATGTTACAGAAAAATCCACTTCTTCCCTGAAGAGAATAAAATGTGTGCTTTCATTTTTCAAGGAGATAGGGAGCACAATGAAAGTATTCTTCAGATGAGAATATGCAATGAAAAGAATCGTAACATTGGTAGAAGCAATGAAAAATGATTGACTAAGAAAGGTGGCGTTCCCCAGTATATTTCCAAAAGCCTCATGAAAGGCAGAGTGTGATCCCACTGTTTCTCACCATAAAGTCTGTTCTTTGAACACCTACACTCTGGCTTCAGGGCATACATCACAGTAGAAAACTGTAGTCTGGACTTCTACCACGAAGTAGTAGCAATATTCACCTTGGGATTTTAAAAACCGTTGGGAAATTGTCATATAATTTCCTTCAAAAGTTTTGGCAGAGAAGAGTGCAGATTCTGGGAGTCAGCATCACCAACAACAATGGGAAGATAAATATAAGCGTTGCCCCAGTAATTCTTGTTCTCAACATTGACTAATTAATTAGGTGTCCCCAGACACCAGCCATGCCTTTACTTTCTGCCCCGTCTCTTCAACAACTAATAAAGTTTGAGGGCCTGCACTCTCTGCTCACTGGCTGGGTCCATTCTGCTTGGTGACCATGCAATGTTGTGACAAAAATATCACACAGGCTTCACGCTTTCTTGTCAGCACCTCAGTGTCGACACAGTAAAGCAAGGATGCTTCTCCACCCAGAAAGGTGAGGATATGATGGAGGAGCATAGTGGAAAAGAAGGTCTTGGAGCAGGTGCACGCATAACATGGAGCACTGCCACGGAAGGATATTTGTCTCAGCAGCACCCAGGGCGAAACTTAGAAGGTGTTGCTCCCACTGGCTGCTATAGGAGGTGACAACATAGAAGGTGAGTGGAAAGTTGCGTGGTAAGTGGGCTTCTACCCACTGGGGGAGGCAGAGCCAGACCTTTCATCAGAACCATAAGTAGCCTGGGAGTCCAGCTCTAGCCCAGAATTGAGGGCAGTGAAATGTTGGTTTAGCCTGTCTGCTCCTTTGTGAAGTTTCAGTGGTCCAGGCTACCATGTAGACTTGTGCTGTGAAATGTTCTGGGCTATGGACACACAGCTTTGTCATTCAGAACATCTGCAGCATGGGATGCATATTCACCCCACTCTGGGACAACAGACTGTGACAACTGAGTTTCCTTCTCTTCTCCTTTCCCCTCAGCCCACAGCAAACTCTTGATTTCTTGGAAATAATAGCTGCAAGAGGAGGTAGCCCTGCCCTCTCGTGAGGTGACCTCTGTTTATGCCTGGTCTCAGGGACCCTGGTGACTTACTGAATTTACTGGGGTCAACAGAAACAGAAGGAGAGGCTCCTTCAGGCTGTGTCACTGGAGTAAGCAGTTTGATTTCATGAGCTGACCTTCAGAGGACTTTGCCCACAGTGCATTAGTGAGAGGGACACTTTCACACTGCCGACCTTTAGCCTATATTGATATGCTAGAGTCAAACACCATCCTGAGACAAATTACTGATTGAGAGGACTGAGGAAGGAAGAATGTTCACTGAGCTTGGATGTAAGAGTGAGTGCATGAGTGTCAGGGTGACCAGCATACCTCCCTGAACTTCTGTCACTCCCACCTCCATCACAGGACAGCAGGAACCCTTGGGGCAGGGGAGAGTGAAACCTAAATTTACAATTTACCTCACGTTGTTGAGCAAACCCCCAATTTCTCTGGTCTCCAGTCTCTTCTGTAAAATGCTTCTGCTAAAAGAGATCTTCTCTAAGCACCATGTTATTTCATAGGTCAATAACACATCAGAGATACTATGTAAGGAGAGATACAATTAAATTTAATAAAGCTAATCTTACACTTAAGGTTGAGAGAACATCAACAATAGACTTGTTCTTGTTTTAAAACATTCTGTCACTGCAATTGGAAATAACAGATACTCCAGATTCTGGTATTCTGTCTAAAGTCCCAACTATGTGACCTAAGCTCTCTGGAACTCTCTAAGCCTCAGTTTCTGCTTCTGTAGAAGAAGGGGTTCATGGTTATTGTGAAGAGTAATAGAACTAAGAGTTTCAGTGACCAGCATAGAAAGCATAAATCTTCAACATATGATGATGATGATGATGATGAAAACTTGGACCACAAAATGTGTTGCATATTTTTAAATATTCAAGGGCAGTATCACTAATATTATTGTTATGTTTACTTACAAATTAATATTATTAAAAAATGTTGGGCACCTGGGTGGCTCAGATGGTTAAGTGTCTACATTCTGCTCAGGTCATGATCCCAGGGTCCTGGAATGGAGGCCTCCATTGGGTTCCATGCTCAGTGGGGCATCTGCTTATCCCTTTGACCCTCCCTGCTCTTGTGTTTTCTCTCTCACTGTCACTCTTAAATAAATAAATAAAAATTTTTAAAATCTTTTAATAAAAAAATAATAAAATGAATAACTACAATGCATTTTAACTATGACAATGTCGATAACTCTGCCTATTGATGCTCTATTTACACTATATTAGTGATCATAATATTATACTTAGAATTTGAGGAACAAAGAAACATTGGCATCATATAACAAGTGAGTTACAAGCTTTATCTTACTTCTCACAAGAACATGAACAGAAAGATCCTATCACCTATATTCTACAGAGAGTAAAAGTGAAGTTCACAAAGGTTAAGTACCTTTCTAAAAATGACCCGTCTCTCGGGGTTTAGAACTCAGTATTCAACTAGTACTGAGCTCTCAGGTCCTACTGATTGAAGAATCCGCTGACTAAACTAGTTAGCTATTGACCTAGTCACCTTCATGAACAAATAGTTTAATCCTGCTCCTCTGAAACCTTTGTGCTTGTTGATGTCTTTATTGTAGGTTAGACTAGCATTGATGATTCTGGAAAAAGATGTCCATGGAAATGGGGAATGGGACAACTGTCCAAGAATTCACCTTGGAGAGGTTTCCTGCCATCCAGCAGCTGGGAAAAGTCCTCTTCCTGGTGCACCTGCTGGCATACCTGGCATCCATTGCAGGCAATGCGGTCATAGTCACCATCACCTGTGCTGACTCCCGGCTCCACACACTATGTACTTGTTCCTCAGCATTTTCTCCTTCTTTGAGTGTTGTTTTATAAGTGCTGTTATTCCTAAATTGTTGCTCATCTTTCACTCAGGCAAGCAAACCATTTCCTTTCCTGCCTGTTTCATACAAGCATTTGTCTTTGTATTTCTGGGAGCAGCAGGATTCCTCATCATAGCGGTGATGTCACTGGATCAGTATGTGGCCGTTAGCAATCCTCTGCACTACCCAACCATCATGAACCTGAAGACTTGCTTCCTCCTGGTCACTGCCTGCTTCGCTTTGGCCTTCCCTCTCATCACTGGTTTGCTAGTAAAAGTCTCCCAGTTATCCTTCTGTGGCCCCCATGTCATCCCCCACTTTTTCTGTGACATTGGTTCCCTGATTCATCTCTCCTGTTCTGACACCAGGTCTGTTGAAATGTTGGCCTTTGTTCTCACTTCCTTTATCCTGTTGACATCCCTTATCATAACCATCATTGCATACAGCAACATAGTACTCACAATCCTGCTACTTCCCTCAGCCAAGGAGAGACAGAAAGCTTCCTCCACCTGCTCCTATCACCTCCTTGTCCTCTCTCTGATGTACTGGAGCTGTGTGTTTGTATATGTGAAACAAAAGCAAATGAACAGGCTGGACTCCAACAGGGAGGCTTCCCTTGTGAACACGGTGGTAACCCCACTGCTCAACCCTGTCATCTACACTCTGAGGAACAAGCAGGTCCACCAGGCTCTGAGGGAGATGATGTGCAGAAAGAAAGAATTAAGATAAAAAAATCACATGACCTTGGTGTGGAAGTCTTCAGAAAAACATTTGTCTTCATTCTCGCCAAGGTAGCTTTCCAAAGAGTTAATCAGTGTCTCTGAGAGTCACACTTGATCAACACATTTTAGCAAAATAGAAATCCGTTTCTCAAGATCTCATTTTAGCTTGGTCTGCATAATTGTCTTCTCCATAAATTTTCCACCTTTGGATGACAATGATTCATTGCAAAATCCTTTACTGAATTGGTTTTCTTCCCTCTGATAAGCAATGTGCACTTAATTTCCAAAATTTAGTTATTTATATACTTTTTATTTCACTTCCTTCAAACCAATGACATGGCTGAACAGAATTAATAATGATTTGACAAAAAGCATTTAGATAATTAATAGAAGGTTGTATATTATGCTGTGATTCAGAGGGAAATGATGGAAATCGTACCAGTGCATTGGTCAACATTCCCTCCATGCCTGGATGAGGAAAATAATGTTTATAGTACCCTTCACATTGGAATATGTATTGTTTGCATCAGGTGTGCTCTTAAATGTTCTTGGGCCTTAGCTTAGCTACATATGTATGCATTGTTCCCATGCTAGAGGGAAATAGAATTGTTCTCAGGGCCAGACCATTCTCTAAGGAGAGGGAAAAACCACAGCAACCCACGGTAGAGCAAAGCTCCTATTTCCTAAATTATTTATTCTAGCTGCAGCATAATGCACACTTATGATTAGTTCTTATCCTAAGCTCTTACCACAGAATGGTTCTGTATACCAGTTGAAGGGTGTACTTTTTTAATATTGCTATAAATTCTGCCAAAGATTTAAGTAGGTGGAATTTAAGTTACTTGCTTTTCTAATTCATATTGTTAAGGGAAAAACAAATTTTTTCCTGGTTACCTTGTATTGTCAACTGTAAGGTTATCTTCTGATTGACAATTTATTCCAAAATCATCATTTTCATGATCTCAACCCTTAAACCTTTGTACTTTTTACACCTATTTTTTCCAGCTAGGATTTGGCTATTTATTCATTAGAAGGAACATTTCTAAAAAGGCTGAGACAATTTATTTTGTTTGTCTTTAACCCAAAACCAGAGGTTAGATTATCTCAAATACATTTTGTGAAACATGTTCTATGCCATGATTAGGTCCAGTTTGCTCCAAAAAATCATAGGTGATTCACTATACACATTGTATTAAAAGGAATTTGCCAAAGCCATGATCAGAGTAGGAAAATGCATACAGACTCTGTTACAGGAATTAAAAGAAAGAGAGTGATGTCTTAGGGAAGAAGAAATGGAATGGTATGCAAGGAGACCAGAGTAGACACTTAATCACATGCACTGGACAACCCTGCTGTTGCTTTTGACTAACTGATCAACTTCCAAGAACACATAAGTCACCTTCTCCAAAAAATATGGAGATTGAGCTAGATGACCTCTAGGGTTCCCTTGAAAATACTCATGGACATAGCAGCAAGATGCTGCAGGAACATGGAAATAATGTTCTGCCCTGAGAGCTGAACCACTGAAGAGTGTATGAAAGTGGTTGAGGATCAGTAATGTAGGAATAAATCTAGGAATTGTGGTCAAACTACTAAAAAGGTATGAGCCTCCCCAACTTTTAGTCATGATTGGATAATAATTTATTATACTTAAACTAATTAAATGCACTTTATAATACTTGAGATAGAATATGGTTGAAGAGTGAGTCTGACAAACAGAAAAATGAAGACTAGAAATCTAAAACTGAGTCTATAATCCAAGGCTGATGGTTACCAGCCATAGATGGTACCAAGATAAGGACAAACTCTAAGGTAGAGATTAGTGTACTAGATTCTGGTGCCATAAAATGTTTTATTTTATTTTATTTTATTTTTATTTTCTCAAAATTTTTATTTATTTATTTGACACAGAGAGCAAGAGAGAGAGATCACAGGTAGACAGAGGTGGAGGGAGAGAAGATGGCGGGGAAGTAGGAGGAGGCACCATTTCAACATGTACCCTAAAGTGAGCTGATTATCTACCAAAGAACTCCGATCACTCATGAAATCAGCCTGAGATCAGAATTATACATGTCTGGATCTCTACAGGGGCAGAAGACGCCAGTGGGCAGGTAGAGCAGAGTGGAAACGTCGGACTGATATAGGAAGATAAATAGAAGGGAGAGGGAGCCACCAGAGGTGACCAATTGGAAAGTAATACCCCAAGACGAGAGTGCCCTGTGTCTGGGGACCAGCATTAACTTGGAGTCTGGTTAAAAGCACTCAAAAAGAGCAAAGGATCGTGGGGGGGGGGGGGTTGTGGGAATCGGGGCAGTAGGGACAGGGGCTTAAGTCCCCAGACCCAGGACAGCCACCCCTGGTGCTGAACTAGAGAGAGTGTGGCAGAGAAACCAGGTCTTGGTCCCTGAGCTGCCAGCACTCCCAAGAACGCGTGGGGTCTGGCTTCCATGAAGGGCTGGGAGCCTCACCAGATGGCAGAATGGCACGCTGTGCTATCAGAGCCTGAGACACACGCGCCCCACACCCTCCCCTGAGAGAGGTGTGCACAGGCACCAGCCCAGTGCTCTTGGACCTGGAAAGACCAGACACTCCCAGCCCGGGGCCAGCGGGAAAATCTCAGTGTTCAATTGTTGCTTGGAACCTCTCTGGCAGTCTGGATCTGCCCAGATAGCCGCTGCTGCTGTGGTTTTGGGTACAAGGAGGAGATCCTGTGTCCCTAGGGACCACGATTCAGAACCTGCTCTGCCAGCAGCTGAGGGAGAACTTATGTGCTGTGCAGCACCCTCAGGGGAGCAGACTGAGGGTTCTCTCTGAGAGGGAGGTCAAGGTGCAGTTTGCATTCCTCTAAACCTCCAAAAACCATCAAAAGCTTTCAAGGCGAGAGAAAATAAATGAACAAACATAAAAACCTCCAGAGGAAAAAAAAGCCTGAAAAACCATTTTCCTCAGAGCCCACCCACTTGAGGGGGGCAGGAGGACTTAACTCAGAGAATATCATTGACTGAAAACCCACATGGCAGGCCCCTCCCCCAGAAAACCAACCAGGGGGGAAAAAAAAGAGACGACAAGAGAACAACCACCACTATGTCATATATACAACTTTTGTTTTTAACTCGTTCCCACTATTCTGGTTCATTTATTTTATGTAGATAATTTTTTAACCTATTTACCATCACAGTGAGATGTCCAGTACATCAAATTCCATAATAATCCTTTAACCTGAACATTTTGATACATTTACCCGTGTTTTTCTATTGCTTTTCTATTTTTTTCTATTTTTTTAAATTTTAGTTTAGTTTAGTCCAGTTTATTTTTATTTTCTAATAATCATATAGAGTTAAAAATCAAGGTAATCTCCTTTCCCCAATCAATGCTACCCCTATAGGTAAACCAATTTTTAATCCCCCTTTATCTTAGGAAAGTTGAGTCCTTTAACAAAGATATCAAGATACATCCAGGAAGAATCAACATAACCTTCCTCGCCCACACTGAGAATTTATAACCACTCTCCCAGCTTTTTCTTCCGCCAGTGTTTCTCTGTATTTGTCTTTGTACTGATAGTATATAAATCTTATACTTGGGGTTCTTTTTGATGAGGTTCTTCATTATTTTGCTTTTATATATTTATTTTTTTTCTCTTGTCATACACATTTATCAGTCTTTTTCTTTATCTGTTTTTGTTTGTATACTTCATAAATCTTACCCTGGGGCCCATTTGGGCTGAGCCATCTCTTTTATCTTCCCTTTTTTTCCTGTCTCTCTCTCTCTCTTTCTCTTTACATCCATTCAGTCATCTCTCACCAAAATGCTTAGGAGGAGGAAAGCTCAGCAAAAGAAAAATACAGAGGATGGGCCTTCTGCAACAGAGCTAATGTCTATCAATGTAGACAATATGTCGGGAAGGGAATTCAGGCTAATAATTATCCAGGCAATAGCTAGGTTGGAGAAAGCCATGGATGACCAAATGGAATTTATTAGGGCAGAACTGAAAGCCACCAGGGATAATGTCACAATGTTAGGGCAGAACTGAAAGCAAACATGGATGATGCTCAAAATGCTCTCAATGAGTTCCAATGTAATCTAAATTCTCTAAAAGCTAGGGTAACTGAGACAGAAGATAGAATTAGTGATCTGGAGGACAAACAGATAGAGAAAGAGGATCAGGAGGAAGCCTGGAACAAACAGCTTAGAAGCCACGAAAACAGAATCAGGGAAATAAATGATGCCATGGAACGTTCCAACATCAGAATTATTGGAATCCCTGAAGGGGAGGAGAAAGAAAGAAGTCTAAAAGATATAGTGGAACAAGTTCTCCATGAAAATTTTCCAAATCTCATGAACGGAACCAGCGTTCATGTACTAGAAGCAGAAGGGTTTTCCCCCCAAGATTATAGATTCTCGAAAGTCCTTGAGACACCTAATAGTAAGAATGAAGAATTATAATTGTAAGCAGACTCTCTTGAAAACAGCTAGGACAAAGAAGCTCCTTACGTACAGAGGAAATCCCATCAGAATAACATCAAACCTCTCTACAGAGACCTGGCAAGCCAGAAAGGGCTGGCAAGATATATTCAGGGCACTAAATGAGAAGAACATTCAGCCAAGAATACATTATCCAGCAAGAATGACATTCAAAACGGATGGAGAGATAAAGAGTTTCCAAGACTGGCAAGGCTTAAAAGACTATGCAACCACCAAGCCGACACTGCAGGAAATATTAAGGGGGGTTCTATAAAAGATAAAAAATCCTAAAAATATCATTGAACAGAAATATAGAGACAATCTACAGAAAGACTTCAAAGGTAACACGATGGCAATAAAAACATATCTATCAATAGTCACTCTCAATGTGAATGGCCTAAATGTGCCCATAAAATGATACAAGGTTGCAGACTGGATAAAACAACAGGACCTATCCATATATTGTCTACAAGAGACCCATTTTGAACCTAAAGCTACACCCAGACTGAAAGTGAAGGGATGGAGAAGCATCTTTCATGCCAATGG